TTTCCCGGTACAACGTCAGAAGATCTTGTGGATGGGCTCCCCACCACGTTCCGATAATTGATCGAAGGAAATTGATCCTTAGTTGGCATTTTCGTCTCAGATACTCAATGTGGGATCTCCAGGTGCATTTGGAATCGAACCAGACCCCGAGATATTTAAAAGACATGGAATGAGTGATCGGTTTACCCAAAAGTTGAAGCTTTGGTTGTGCTGGGCTATGCTTTATTAGAAAAAACGACCAACTCAGATTTCTCCGTGGAGAATTCGATACCTAGCTGAATAGCCCAAGTAGACAAATTGTCCAAGGTATCCTGTAAGGGTCCTTGCAGGTCAACCTCTTTTGGCCCTGTGATAGACACTACGCCGTCATCTGCAAGTTGTCTCAACGTGAAATTGTCACTAAGACAGACATCAATTTCTCTAACGTAGAAATTGTACAAAAGGGGGCTTAAACATGAGCCTTGGGGGAGACCCATGTAGCTAAATCGAAAAGCTGTAGAGTTTCCATGAGAAAAGCTCATATGTTTTTCTGACAGCAAATTGTACAAAAAATTATTCATTAATGGAGACAATCCACAAGCGTGGAGTTTCTCTGAAAGAACTTCAACGGATACTGAATCAAAAGCCCCCTTGATATCCAAGAACACAGAAGCCATTTGCTCTTTCTTGGCAAAAGCCAACTGAATTTCCGAGGAAAGCAACGCGGGACAGTCGTTCGTTCCCTTACCCCTACGGAAACCAAATTGAGTATCTGAAAGAAGGTGGTTCGTCTCAACCCATTTGTCGAGGCGAAAAAGGATCATTTTCTCCATCAATTTCCGAATACACGACAGCATCGCGATGGGCCGATACGAATTGTGATCCGACGCGAGTTTATCAGGCTTTTTAATGGCTATCACCCTTACTCGTCTCCAATTGATTTGGGCAAGCTGATTTGGGGTTCTTTATTTGCAACAATCAGCGAACGGATGCGCTTTCGTTTCCGTGCAGAACCTTCCGGAAAACTGAAAGAAGTTCCCTCCTCAGCCAAGTCAGAGTCAGTCTCGTCATCTGACAAAAGAGAAAAGGGATTTTTGTCAGTGGTCGATGGCGTGGCTGTCTTAAGCATTTCTGCAAAAGACCGCGTGGAACGTTCCTTAAGGGAGCGTTTCATTTTGTCCCCGAGCTGTTTGTACGCCGGGCATGACGAGAGAGCATGAGGAGGAGTTCCGTTGCAGTACACGCATTTTGGTGCAGTAGCTGCGCAGGCGCCATCCTCATGCTTCTCTCCGCATGTGGAGCAACGTGCCTTGTTGCTGCAGTGGGAGGCCGTATGTCCAAACCGCTTGCAATTCTGGCAGTTCATGACCCGAGGTACAAACAACCGCACAGGAAGACGAAGTTTTCCCAGCTCGATGTATTGAGGAAGGGCAGATCCAGAAAAGGTCACCCGAAACGAGTCTGTGGAGGTAAAACCCTTTTTACCCTCGCTGAGCGATACTGAGTTCATTCTATGAACGGCCAGTATCTTTACCGGAGGAAGCAAGGGGTTCTTGAATCGGCCAACCGCTTGCTTCTCCAGTATCTCGGGGTTCAGACTCGCCTCAGTGACCACGCCTTCGATCTCCACATCAGAGGCTGGAATGTACACCCTATATTCCAGTGTGAAAAATTGGGAAACAGCAATTTCATTGGCCTGTTTCAGGTTAGCGACGGTCACGCGAAGTTTGTTGTGCCTAACCTTCGTTATTTCGGTCACGGCAGAGAATCGCTTTGTCAGATCATCAGATATCTGAACAACATTCAAGGGTTTGTTTTTGGGCTGAAAATAGACAACCCATGGGCCAGTCGAGTCATTCGGGTAGGCCCGCAATCTGGAGCTTTTCTCAGCCTGCTCATTGACAGACTGAGACGACGAACCAGGGATGACATCACCATTCTTCTGAGATGAATGGTCATCCATGTCGTCTTCTGACAAAACATCCATTTTGTTCAACTAGTGGGAGCGCAAAACGCTCTCCCACTGAACGCAAAGACACAATACACAGAAAACACTACAAACACAGAAATACAAAATGAAAATTTAACTAATGGGGGAGTAAAAGAAACAAGGAAAAACAAAAACTTATCTGATAATCCTATACTACTACCACCGAGCGTTATATGTGTAGGCGTTTACACAGATGGCTGGGAAGCGACGCGCAGCGTGGATAACCTTCGCTGTGGTGCACTTGTTCGAGGCGCGGCACTCAGCGCACACAGGCGCACGATGATTGATGAACGATGTAGATTTAGAAACGGGTGCTCACACTCGATGATGATGATACGTGAGCGGGTATGCGTAAGCGCGTATGCGTGACCAAGCAACGATGATGCCCAAATTTGTTTGCGAATTTCCAATAGCACGGATTAATCTTTCCGAAAATGACACTTTCTACTAAAAAAAAACTCACTTTTCGATCAATTTACCGGGAACTATGCCAGGAGTCACTTAGCGAGAAAAAAACTGATAATTTATATCAAGCGAATACCGAAAAAACTTCCAAAACAACGGGGCGCGAAACAAGTCGACCGTACTTCTTGCTAGGACGCAGTGGGATAATAAGTCTGTAAATGTCCGTAACGAAAAAAAAAAAAAAAATCTGTGAAAACAATACATGTCTGTAAATTCACAGACATGTCTGTAAATCTGGCATCTCAGATTGGAGTACTCTTTAAAACCTTCAACAGGTGTGCGTTGTACTTCTTGTAAGTTATTGCATGTGCCTCGCCTCAATGACATCTGGATGATCAAATACTCCAACCTCATAACTACAATTCTCAAATATTGCTTCGCTCCAAGTTGGTTACAGAAATTCTCACTAGATCCGCACATTCATTACTTATTAGTATCATTACCACTAATCACCAAACAAAACAAAAGACTTATTCAAGATTATGTAGGTAAAGCTTTCACCCCGTGTGTACTCTCTTTCGAATTACACTGATCTTGAAAAAGTTATGCCGTCTTTCTTCGTTTCCAAACGACCTGAATTACACTAGCAGATGGTTCACCTTCATTCTTAGACCTACAGTCGGGAATCCTTATTCCCGGATGGTTTTTTTTGCCCATATTCCTTTATTCCTAGATGCTTGAGCTGCGGCAGGTAGAATGGATTCCTCACTGTACCTCAGTGTATAGCTTAAGTTTGAGCAGCGCGTGTACGGCGTAAACTTTATCCTTTGCAAACAGAAAACAAGTTTGGAATAATTATTAATGTTTGCGCAAAAGAATCTTACTGAAGAGCTTTAAAGGAAGTCTTTTGTGTTTTGCTCCTGTCCTCGGGTGATTTTTGATTCTTGAATGAAACTGGGATGGTTATGATGGAATTTTTAATAGATTTACCGTTTTTCCGGAAGCATAAATTAGTAACGGTCACGTTCCGAATTAGTTGCATTAGTCATGTAAAATATTGTTAATCCAAGCTTGTATTGAAACCATTTCACGGATAATTTACTTCGATGCTTTTCTGGTAGTAACAGAGCGCAGCGATTTTGCAGCAACCCGAACAACAAAGGAAAAGGATGGCTTCCCTTCAACGAAGGGAAAATGTGCGATTTTATTTTTCCAAAGAAATAACAACTTGCGAAAAACTAGAGACGAACAAAAAAAAAACACATATCGATTGCGTGGTTGAGCGAGCGTGGCTTTCTTGGAAGTAATTTGATACTGGAACCGGCAGACGAGGATGTATGGGCGCGCGTAAGGATGCCAGTCGATACGAGGATGAAGCGGAGCGGGGCGGGGAATTGGCTTGAATTTATTTTTTTCATTGAGGCATTTCCTGACTAAGATTAGCATTCTTGGTACTGACCGAATAATAATAATCGGAGGAGGGTTCAGAATGGATCAGTCCCTTCACAATTCCTTTGTTGGCGGAGAAAATTAAATTCATTGGAAAGGATGTGATAGACGTGCATTTGATCATTAAACTTGTATGCCATGTCTTTTTTGGCTTCTGTGGAGCAGGGATTAACAATTTTCATCGCTTCCGAAGAAGATATTCCTGATGGATGGAAGAATGTGATTAATTTATTTGGTATTTGAATTTCAACAGAGAAATTATCCCATACTTATGAACAAACACAAGCTGTGTTTAGTGCTATTCAATTAGTGGCAGCGTATCAACATTTCGGCTTGATTTGATACAGCTGACCGGAAGCAAATTCATAAGTTATGCCACTCCGAATTCCATCCTGCCCAAATGACACTAACCCATCTGGAATACCAAATAGGATCCCACGCTTGGGCCACCCACTATCATTTTCAGCACTAAATCACCGTCCCATTAAGAACGAGGCGACACAACATTGATAGAGCCTTCTTTAATTGGCTCATGTTTTTTTTTCCAGTGCATTAATTACACACACGGCTGGTTGGATTCCTAGCTTGACCCTCACGACGACTTATACGAAATTTGTTGACTACCACACCATCGTAGGGGAGTAATACGCGCCAGCGGGTTAATATTTTTAAGCAGTAATTAAAATGACAATTTAACCAAATGATAGCCCACCTAGCAGTTCTGGGTGAAAATCAATTCAATTGTGTTTGAGCAGTCCACGAAAAATGGCTGTTGGTCATATCACTCCGGTGGCGCGTTTTACGCCATTTCCCTCTATATGTACGTATTTCTTTTTTGGCATAATCCTCAAACATTTTCCCCTTCCTCAGCTGCTGCTGTAACGTAGTAAATCTCCCCCACGGATCGACGGTGGTCAGTCACGTTCCATGGATTAAGTTCGCTCGGTCCATCAGCCAAGCGACACTTAGCCCGGGTTGATTGCAAAAATAAATAGACCATTATTGTTTTTCCTCTCACTTTATGACAAAATCAGCTTCAGGGCTGTGAAATAAAATCGAAGCTGCAGTGCAGAACCGATAAATATAATTTCAATTGACGTCATACTATTTAATATATCAAAGTAATGTGACATTTTTGTGCCCATTTTGAATCTCGACTCTCTTCTCTCCCTTCCAGGACCACCCCGGGCCCGCCCCACGTGTCTCGTTCGAGTGTGACTGATTGAAGCCGTGCAGCAAGTGAACGAGGATCGCCGCAGTCTGAGAGAGTGGCCTGAACGGGGGAGGCCACACTCATTGACGCCTGCACGCCGTTGTCACGATAGCGCCGTACCCCGCGTCCGGCATCAGCAGCTATGTACGGACTGCTGCTGGAGAATCTTTCCGAGTATATTAAAAGCGTCTACGGTGAGGAAAAGTGGGATGACATCCGCCGACAGACCGGAATCTCGTCGCCGTCGTTCAGCGTGCACGATGACTACGACGAAAACCTACTCAACCAACTGGCGGCGAAGGCGCAAGAAGTGAGTCACACCAACTATCCACTAACTATCCTTCCAGCACACGAAATTTACCTACCATTGTTTATTCGGCCAGATCCTTGGAATATCCGAACGCGAATTCATGGACCAGATGGGGGTCTACTTTGTGAATTTCGTTAGCCAGTACGGCTACGACCGGGTGCTCTCGGTGTTGGGTCGACACATGCGTGACTTCCTGAATGGGTTGGATAATTTGCACGAATATCTCAAGTTTTCCTACCCATTGATGCGTGCCCCGAGCTTCATCTGCGAGAACGAAACGCGCCATGGCCTAACGCTGCACTACCGCACCAAGCGCAAGGGCTTCGTCTACTACACAATGGGACAAATCAGAGAGGTAACGTCTTGCATACCTGGGGCCACATTATGGAACCAAGCCGAAACGACTTTTTCGTTCGTTTCATTCGTTTCGACTTCCCTGGCTTCGACGAAACAAAAAGCTTCATTTCCCGTGTTTAATGTTTTCCCTCCATTCTCAACAGGTGGCACGTCATTTCTACCACAAAGAAATGCAAATTGCCCTGGTCAAGTCGGACCTGCTCGGGGAAACTAATCACTACACGTTCCAGCTGACGTTCGACAACAGGGCCTTCTCGCTGGCCACACTGGCCATGACGAGGGAGGAGAAACACTTGCCCATCAGCGCGTCGGTGCTGTTTGAGATTTTCCCGTTCTGCATTGTGTTTGGGTGAGTTTTTCTTTTATGAGTTTGTGGGTGGCGTTCGCCGGGTGGGAAACGGGTAATTGGTTTACGGTGTTGAAGCATTCATGGGGTGTGGAATGTTGTGATTATGGTAATTAATCTGATTGAGCTAATTAAAATCAACACTTTAATGGATTATAATTTTACCACAGCGCACGGAGTGGTTGAAAGTGTCATTTCGTGCGCTTAGCCCTGCAATGGTAGCCTTAATCATGGTCAATTTTGGAAGCCTGGGGTGCATATGCAACCCACACGATGTACTGCTGTATTTCAAGATCCTGATTATTTAGAAGGGTGATGTCTTTGGAAAAGTTTATAAGGATGACAAGAACATATCAGTTAGAAATGCTCCCGCTAAGTGGCACTTGGGAGCTTGCAAATATTATGTGCTGTCTATTCTTTATTTTCAGATCGTGACTATTTTAAAAGTCGAAGTTGATCAGGAAGACAAAGGCTGCTTAGTGATGTACATATTAGTTCGCAGGGCACACTGGGTCATGAATGCAATCTAGCGTAGCAAAATTCATAACTCCGAAACGAAGCATTTCCACGACTTGGTGTCTTGGGCAAAGTGTCTCATCATAATAAGGACCTTATATTAACATAAACAAATAGTTCACAACTCTTCCGCAAAGATGGCGCCATAATCTAACTTCTTTCTCTGACGTTTTGGAGACTTAATGTCTTCGGCAAAGTTGTTTATCTTGACAAAATAAACAACTCTTTTCAAAACGTAAAATTTCCGCAGCCTACTGGTTCCACGTTATATGGAGTTAAAGTTGCTTTCTGTTTCGGTTTTTGCTTACAACCATATAATTTTATATATTCTTTTATGCAAATTAATTAAATACATAACTTTTGTGAAGAAACATACTGCTTTAAGCTTCAAATTTAATATCGTTAATATTGTTGAAACAACGAAATTAAAAAAAATACAGCAATTTTTCAACTTTATTATCTCCCAAAGCGCAAAAAATTGCAACCTGACATTTTCAGTAAAAATAATGCAGTACTCGATTCACAAATTATCAAAATTTGAGAGAGGTATATTTTTGTGTTTTTGAGATTTCTTCATTTCAGTGCACAGAGGTCCAGAATGCAGATTTAGGTGGAATGATATGTTTTGAGCCTAAAATTTAAACTTTAGAGTTAAAGTCTCTTCTACAAAGTTGTTTCTTATAGTTAGGCCCTCATTTTTATGGCAATGAATTCTAGAGTGGTTCTTATTATCAATAAAATCAAAAATCTTAATTTTTGGTTTGAATAAATTAAGGAATACATTCTTCGGCAAAGTTATAGCTGAGCTAATTTCTAATTTTAAGCTATAACTTAATATAAAAAAAAACTTTTTTATATCTCTTAAGTTGACCGATTTAGAGTAATTTTCTTGAATTGAGATGGGGTGTCTCAAAAAAAAAAAAAAAAATGAGTTGTTTTGCTCTAGTTTTCTTATGTAAAATTTCTCCGCAAAGGTGGTGTCTTCAAATAACATTTAGTTATTTAGAAGGTGCAAATTTTTGCTGCACAAAGCTTGTCAATATCTTTCGCCGATCAAGAGCTATTTACGTTTTTCTACTGAAAAATGCCCTTTTCAAATGTGAATATCTCTGGTTGGGGCAAAAAAAAAAGTATTTTTACGACATTTGAAAGGGCGTATGTTACTCTCACTAATATAAAAAAATAGGAGGTATCTTATTTTTTAAACTCGTAAAAATCAATTTGAATTTATTCATATCCTTTACTATATTTGGGTATATCTTTTTTACTAGAAGAGATACAGGCAACACATTTCGGTAGAAATCATTCGTCTTAAAGAGTTTTAAAAGAGTTTCAAATGAAAAATTTAAAATAAAACAACAATTATGTCTGATAGTCAAGCAGCATTAAATGCTTCAAAATCAGCAACATGCAATTCAAAATTCGTATGGGAATGTGTAATGTCACTTCAGAAATTTGCCTGTCAAAACCAAGTAAACCTATATTGGGTTCCTGGCCACTGTGGAATTGAAGGGAATGAAAAGCCGACACGTTAGCCAGTCTAGGATCATCTCAGCAATTCATAGGACCAGAACCATTCTGTGGAGTTTCTGCTTGTTCTCTTAAAATGGAGATCAAGAAATGAAAAACAAAATAAAAATGGAGACCAATTGGAACAACACTTCCATTGCTAGGCAGTCAAAAGGTTCATAATTCCGAACATTTCAATGACTAGCAAAATTCTTGAACTATCAAAGAAAGATCTCAGTGTCTGGTTTGATAACAGGACATTATGAGATGGCTAATAACTAGGTAGGTCATGACTTTTCATACACATTTCGAGACAGTTGGTGAAAGGAAATTTGGATTCAAGCTGCTGCACGGGTAAGTTGGACATTGATTAGCTGCGTCGTGGGTGATTTGCCCATAATTAATATCGGCGGATTTTCACTTCTGGCGATCCTGCCAGGAGACGAACCTGGAATCTTGGAGACCCCCGATAGGTAATAAAATGGCAAATCACCCACTTGCAAGGAAAATAGGATAAGAACGCGACCGGGACGGCTGTTCTGAATGCGAGTAAGGACGGATTTGCAAAAATCGTCTCCTCGCCGTGGCAAAGCCACAGGAGAGAACGCGACCGGACGGCCGTTCTGATAAAACGAGTGAAGACGAATTTGAACAAAAAATTGGTCTCCTCGTGGTGACACTGCCACAGGATAAGAACGTGACCGGGACGGCCGTTCTAAATGCGAGTGAGGACGGATTTGAAAAAAAATCGTCTCCTCGACGTGGCAAAGCTACAGGAGAGAACGCGACCGGGACGGCCGTTTTGAGAAAACGAGTGAGCACGGATTTGAAAAAAAAAAAATCATCTCCTCGTGGTGACACTGCCACAGGATAAGAACTCGGCCGGGGCCGTTGTAAATGCAAGTGAGGCGGATTTGCAATAGTCGTCTCCTCGCCGTAGCAACCGGGACGGCCGTTCTGAGAAAACGAGTGAGTCCTTCTTAATGCTGCTAACAGAATTGTGAAGGTAACCACACCGGAGGTAACGGAGCCCTTGACGGAGCCAATCTGAATCGCGGTATTTATAAACGCGATCGGAACCGCCAGCAGGGGATAAGTATGCAATTCCGGCAAAACCAAGTAAGGATGAAATTTATGAAGGAACCACAAGCAAATACAAAGAAAAGGTAGTAATCAAACGTTGGCAACCGGTATCTAGATCCTAGATACGCATTTGCATGATGCTGGAAATTATTTGATGGACGATGAGGATAAACGGATTAAAACTAAATAGTTGAGAGTCATGAGAATGAAGAAGAGCAGCACTATTTATTTTTGTGTTGTTAATTAACAATCTCAGTGATTGCCTGGATATCCTGTTTATTTATTAGGGTGTTCAAAAGTTCAAAACCATGGACGCAGTCGATTGACTCTCCCACCAAAATATGTTTAGCAAACTTAGGATAATTCAGTACCCGAAAGTTAAGGCTAACACTAGGAAGTAACTGAAGGTTTATTGCTGCTTCTACTATCGCCAGTGGGAATTTTAGGTCAAATCCTTCTTGATTTCTAGGTTGTAGCATTGTCCGAGTACCATGAGGATAATGTAGAGGTACATTTTCCACTTGCCGGGTGGGTCATAAGTACAGGTTTCGGCAAACGTCTACCAGAATGAGAAACGGTAAAAAAATTACTTGTCCTGGATGGACAGCTTCTGCCATCACTCACCCTTCTCCTTCTCGTGGAGGAGTTGAACTTAATGGTTGGAAACGGTGAGCGTATACTGGTTAACAGTTCCAGCAGTGGCCGACGATCTCGCGCTTACCAATCTTATCATCGTTAAAGCAAGAGGAATGAATGTTGTACAAAGAAAAACTCACATTCGTGTTATTTGATGCACGTTTTACTTTTCAACAGGACAGACACAGTGATTACCCTCGTATAAACATCCATGAGAACTTGGCAATGTAAACAAACAATCTCAAAAATCATAACTGCAGGGTTGCCAAACTCATGGGATACTGAGATCGACAGCTTGATTGCCACATTTCGGCACACTCGACCCAACGCCTGCCACAGTTTTTGGCACAGATAAAGTTCTCGGTACAGATAGAGGTGTGCAGAGTACCCTTTGCATATGATAGTTATTTGTTAATTTTCTTTTTTGCTCGAATGTTATTCTACCATTTGTGTTGTGTGAGAGAGACGACGGTAGAACATGAGTGTATGAATACAAACAGGCTGTCGCGCACGACAACGAAGCGAGTTTAGTAAAAAAAACGTCAACCGTTTTAACCCCTGTGTCCAACAATGAACGCGTTGATTCTTTGCTGCAGATATTGTCTGAGCCGAACAGCAGATACTGTGATCTGGTCCTAGACTACTGTGAAAATCTCCGATTAACGTTGTAAAAGTGATTTTTAATTCTAGACGCAGCCAATGCCACCGATGTCGCTAGAAAAAGATACGGCGATTTGTTGGAGGGAAATACTGGTTTTAATGTAAAAATTTACACTGGTGGTTCAACACAGTTTTGCGGAACACAACTACAAAATATTGTTTTCTCTGATTATGCAAAAAAAAAAATGAAAATAAAATCAACTGTCCATACATTTTTTATTAACATTATGCCAATACAAAGGTGGGTGGAGCCATGATGTTAGCTAAATTAAAACTGACAGCATTCAGTGATTCATTATGATTAATTAATGTTCAAAAAAAAACTTTTATAACGTTTATACCGAAGGAGAGGGAAGATATGAGATGGATAATAACTAGGTAGGTCATGACTTTTCATACACATTTCCTGACAGTTGGTGAAAGGGCATTTGGATTCAAGCTGCTGCATGGGTAAGTTGGACATTGATTAGCTGCGTCGTGGGTGATTTGCCCATAATTAATATCGGCAGATTTTCACAGACATTGTCCATGTTAAAATCATTTGACGTTAATAGGATTCAAGATTCAAGATGATATGTGTCCATTCTGTGGCATAGAAAAGGAAGACTCTGGACACCTGCTATGCTCTTAAGCAGCAACCTACAATAAAAGGCGTATTTTTCTGGATAAGGGGTTGGCAGAACCATTTAATATTTGGAATGCAGGTCCCAGTCAAGTAGTACATTCCATTCGAAATGTAATACTTGGCTGGGGAAATGCTTCTGGTCAGTTCAAGTTTTTTTTGTAATAAAATTACATATTGTCCGGATCTCATAAGGATTTTAAGGATCTCAATCAGGCTTGGTTCCACTCACTTGCTATATAAACAAAAGATTTTCTAAATTTTGAAATCATTGGACGTTATAATGATATTTTGGACTTGTTAGATACAAGAAGGTGTTAAAAGGCAAGTGTCTGACACATAAAAACTTTCAAATTCACTTTCAGACAGTCATAATCACTCTGAGTGAGTATCATAAAATCGCTGATTGTAACACTCTGGAAGCGAAATTGATCCCAAAGATCCCAAACAGAGTTCCCGTTTCAACGCAGTTTGCTGAGCTTTTTCAAAGTTCCCTGACTTTCTACAAATTTTTCTGGAGCTATATGAAGCTCCCAGAATTCCTACAAAGTTTCGTTAATTTATACGATGTTCCCTAACATTCTTACAAGTGCTTGAAGTTTTACGAAGTTCCCTGAGGTTAAGGAAAAATCCTTGAACTCTTGATCAATTTGTAGAGCCTGAAGACGTCTATCGAATAAATGGCGATGTAATATAAATTCTTGACATTGTTTCTTCTAGTCAAAGCCATTGAGAAAAGTAACCTCAAAACTGCTTGACAAAATACAAGGGACAGCCCTATGGGGTTGTACACAATGGTCACGTGGGTCTACGTGGTATTATATAATAAATCTTATTTATTAACTGCAGCAGGAGCTTGTGTTTCGTGTAGGAATAGGAATTTGAGCGGGGTTCTCTCTATTCATGCTCTTTAGTATGATGCGCTTGACATAGATGGCCCACAGCGACTCACGAAGAGCTACTGATTCCGATCAATAGCGGTGCGGCTTCTCTCTCTTCCCATGAATGCTCATGTGGGCTGCAGCTCGCTGCTTGCAGGCAGCCTTTCGTTGTGATGGAGAACAACGTTCAACGCCACGCACCGAAAGCACTGCTGCTGCTGCTGATACCGACGACCGGACACCACCACACACGGTGATTGGAACTGAATCCGATCAGCGGTTGAGGTCAGCCTTGATAACTAGCTGCTTGCGGGGAACCTTTCGTTGTGTACTGGAGAACACCACCACTCACCACGCGGTGATTGAATAAACACCGTTTGGTGTGATCGGATGGAATTAATCTTTGAAATCTGTGTTACAGTTGCACATTCGTGCGATTTTCAATAACAACATTTTGAAAAATGAGAATGTCTTAAATTAACTCAGATGCGTAGAAATATTTCTGATGGATTGGTGATAAAATTATTGAAATTGGTTCAGGGGCAGCTGAGTTATTAACGTTCAAAATTTTTCATAATTTTGTTACATGTTTCATTTTCGGTTTTCATAAAGTTTACCCCCATATATAAATCACAGACGTAGTCCTAAGTCAAAACTTCGATTGTTTCTTGGGAACCATTTTGATGATTTTTTTAGATTTTTGAGAGCATTTCGTACTAAGGGAAAGTTCACCGCTCCGAAAAAAATAATTACGTTTTAATTTTTCTGAAAATATTGGAAAAAAAGGGGAAATCGCTCTAATTTTGGCTTTTGAATTTAAGACTGGGCTCATTGCTTAAAATCTGCTATTTACAAATTTTATTTAGATGAACGCGTCATTAAGATGGTACTAATGGATTTTTTTGGTCGCAATTGAAAATTTAGTCAATTTCTGAATTTATGTATGGGCCCAAATTAGGGGCATTTAGGCCGAAATTACATTCATTTCTCTAATTTTAGATTTTTGATATAGGGGAAATAAATGTAATGTCGGCCTAAATGCTCCTAATTTGGGCCCATACATAAATTCCGCAATCACCTAAATGTTCAATTTCGACCAAAACTATCCATTAGTACCATCCTAATGACGCATTCATCTAGATAAAATTGGTAAATAGCAGATTTTTAGCAATGGGCCCAACCTTAAATTCAAAAGCCCACATTAGAGCCATTCTCCCTATGAAATTTTTTCATATTTTATATAAAAAATTCACATGTTCACATCAATTTGGACTTTAAAATCACAAATCATCGACCTTTTGGTTTTGCTGAAGATCCAATATTTTTTCATGATGAGATAGAAAACATATTTTACATGCTAATTTTCTCAAGAATCAAAGAAAAATCCTATTTATTGATATTTATTAAGAGGCAGACCCTTCCTTCCGTAAAACGCTGGTCCTCTTGCAAAAACAGTTGTCTCTTGGCCATCAAGCCCCTTAAGGACCATGTTAAATAGATTCCACACATTTCTATCCAATTGTATGCCCCCTTCCCCGCTCGTAGCGTATTTTCCTATACCTTATACAACATTTATGGGTGATTCCTTAAATAAAATAAGCAATTGTGAACTAGTCTCGTTACTGTTACTACCATTCAATCCCAAAGATGATCTCAACGGCGGCAACAACGATCGTCAATTGCATTTGATGCTCTGCGCCACCTCCTTTTGTACCTCATTTACTAGCACTTTTTCGAAAATCTCACAATGTACGGAACATACTGGTCAAAGACCTTGATATAATAACATAATCAATCGAAAGGTGAATTAATTTAATATTCGACATATGTCCCATGCAGTGCCGACATGATCGTCCGCAGTATAGGCAACTCGCTGATGGTCATCGTCCCGGACCTGCTGTCGAAGAAGATCACCGATTGGTTCGAGCTGAAACGTCCACTGATAGCATTCAAGTTCCAAACGGTAAATAGCACACACGGCACCCTTTTTTTCGAAGTGGCAAAGCTTGACTTCAAACTGGCACCATTTCAGATTCTCAACCGCACAAACAACATCTTCGAGCTAGTCACACTGGAATCGGTCAAGAAGCGACCGGAAAACCAACGAAAGACTGAAATCTTCCTCAGCGAGCTGGAGCAACAGGAGGAAGTGGAGAAACATCTACGGCTCAAAGGTTGATTGGCTGTTGGCTTTATTTTCAAATGTATTCACTAATCATAATAATCGAACTTGCAGGTCAAATGATCTACATGGAGAACTGGCGGATGATCATGTTCCTGGGAACACCGGTCATGCCCAAACTGTCCTCGTTGATCAGCACCGGTCTGTACATAAACGATCTGTCGATGCACGATTTCAGTAGGTGGGTTTCGTTGCGTCATGTGGTCTTTTTTTCCCAAATAATTCTAAAATCTTGAATCATTTGATTGAAGGGATCTCATGCTGGCTGGTACCCAGCAGTCGGTCGAGCTTAAGCTCGCTCTGGACCAGGAGCAGCAGAAGTCGAAAAAGCTGGAGGAATCGATGCGCAAACTGGATGAGGAGATGCGCCGGACAGACGAACTGCTGTATCAGATGATACCGAAGCAGGTGGCGGACCGGTTGAGACGGGGCGAAAACCCGATCGATACCTGTGAAATGTTCAACAGTGTGTCGATACTGTTCTCGGACGTGGTCACGTTTACCGAGATCTGCAGCCGGATCACACCGATGGAGGTGGTATCGATGCTGAATGCTATGTATTCAATATTCGATAACTTGACGGAGAGGAACAATGTATATAAGGTAACTGGGGAGGAATTGGGGTAAAGGAAGCTCATTAGTTTATTACATTGGATATTGGTTTTCAGGTTGAAACTATTGGTGATGCTTATATGGTGGTTTCTGGTGCTCCCGAAAAGGAGCAGAACCATGCGGAAAAAGTTTGTGATATGGCCTTGGATATGATCGAGGCAATAACTGATCTTAAGGACCCATCCACCGGTATGTATAGCCGTTAAGAACTTCTCGGACGCAGATGTGAATATTCTTAACCTTCCTTCTAGGATCCCATCTGCGGATACGGGTGGGCGTCCACTCTGGTGCTGTGGTAGCGGGTATCGTAGGGCTCAAGATGCCCCGCTACTGTCTCTTTGGTGATTCTGTAAATACGGCCTCCCGTATGGAGTCCACTAGTCAAGCGATGAAAATTCACATATCACAATCAACGAGAAATTTCTTGCCTTCAAACTACCGAGTGTCCGAGCGAGGTGAAATTGACGTCAAGGGGAAGGGGACGATGAAGACGTACTGGTTGGACCTCAAGGATAATCGACCACCGTTGCAGCTTCTGTCGGAGGATATTAGGACGCCTTCGATCGAGTACATCGAATCGAGCAAGGATCGACGAGTTAGCATATCAACCTACAACATCCAACACAAACAGTCCAGTGGAGGTCTGAGCTCTGCGGGTACGGAAGATCGGCGGGTCTACTCACCGGTTACCTTCGAGGACGTTGCGAGGCGAAGTACTGCCAACTCTCCGGTTAAGCTGCATGGCATCGGTCCACGCGGGCGGGAAAATCGATCCAACTCCACCGGGCATGCTTTCATGCAAAGTGTTTCGGATGTGTTCGGATCACTGGTCAGCGATACGGAGGAATTCCTAGAGGATATGCAACATCGCAATTCTTTCAGCAATACCAATTATACTGCTTCGACACCGTCGTCTTGTGCGTTCAGCCCACCGCCGGCCTTCAGGTCAAAATCAAAGTCTTACGTGCCGGGACAAGTGAGTTTGTTAGCATACGTGATAGTTTATCGATTAAATTTAATTTTTCTACTAAAATTTAAGTTTTCTCAAGAGGAGCTGGATCTTCTCTCCGATACAACCAACCCTCCATCGGCGCATAGTTCCATCGATCATCAAGAAACAATCAAGAAATCGTATGTATTGCAGTTAGCGTCCTAATCATCCCTAGTACCACTGTCCCCCGTATTATTTTTTAGCAGGAATTTGCTCACCAAAGCGCAAACCGTATCCGTCGGTGGATACGAGCAGCAGAAAACCAAAAACCGGAAAGCCAAGTTAGACAGCGTGCAGCAGAAACAGAACGAAGCCCTCCAAAAGCTCGACAAGATGGTCCAGGAGATCTACGACACGGATCTGCCGGGAATGTGTTTCATGAATCCACCTGCCTCCAGGTCGGACGGTAACATTTGCAAATCCAACTGTAGTAGGTCTGTAGTTTCCAAGTGCAACAATCCCCCTATCACCCCTAACACCACCAACAACAACAACAACCTCGAACCCTGTTATGCAATGTATAGCTTAAACGTTTACTTTCCCATTACATGCTCGTCTCCTTCGGCGTGCCCCTCTTCTTCTGCTTGCTGCAACAACAACTACAACAACATCAACAACAACGACAACACTGGCACCCCAAACGCTTGTAGATCTCAGGCACCTCCTCCTCCTGCTGCTGCGAGTGCTGCTCAGGCGGTACCGTCAGCACAACCGGCTTGCGAGCACACACGAACTCTGCCGCAGCACTGTCACGGCTGCGGCGGCTCGGCACCGGTTGGCGGCGGCATCGGCACTGGCACCAAGGTGCCCCAGAGTGTTAGCTTCACCCACGCGAAAGAGCACAAGTGCTGTCCGGGCTATGCGGCCATGGCCCATCACCACCAGAACGGACGCCACCACAAAGTGCACTCCAATGCTTGTCAGTTACTTTAGAGTTTGGGGAGTTCCTCGCTTGCTCCAGCGCGTGGGGGGATGCTAGTGGAGCGTTTGGTAGAACTAGGCCGGCTGCGGAGAGATCTTCCGCTTGGGAGGTATCTGGAATATCTCGACAAGACGGAAGACTCTGGCAGTCTTTACCTTATAGTTTTATTTATTTTACGTTAAGCCTTGAGAATGAGTGAGTACGTGTAAATAGGAATTTGCCCGGCTGGTTGGTTGGTCCTGCTGTTGATGCGCTCACTGGTAGATTGCTTTTAGTGATGGCTAGATAGTTTTATAGTACATTACTTTCAATTGTTTTTAGTTGGGTTATGGATGAGGGTTTATCCACAGACTAACAGACGTAACACTTTGAAAAAATTTTTCTTGAAAACATAGTATCTCAAAACATAGGACCTCAGTAACGACATCTCTAGGACTTGTCTTGGAAAACAAGCTTGCTCGCTAACTCGCAAACAATATTGCATACAAGTTCTATAGAATGTATAGAAACGTCAAAGTGATTCGATGCCAGCGCTGCGGCGAGTAGTTCGCGGAACTGATAATATTCAAATCAACCGTTAAATGCGTGAACGAAGATACTCAATGAAGTGTTACGTTTGTTTGTTTGTGGGATAAGAGAAGTTTAAAAAAAAACAAAAGTACGCATCGCCATCGTCTTTTTCTTGCGAAAGCTATGCTTCCGGTGGCTGTCGAAAGAGAGCGATATTCCCAAGAACCTGAACCGACACTGAAAAGTTCGAAAGTACGTTTGATTGACCTGAATTTTGCGTCTATTATGACACAATTTTATGTCAAAATTGACACTCGTATATGTCAGTCTCAGAGCACCTAAATTTACATGATTTTTTCTAAGTGTGTAGCTTGATTCAAGGGGTCCAGAACAAGCCAGTGCCAAGGTTGCAAAGACTCATTTCAGCTAAAATAATGTTTTTCGGAATAATAAAACCAAAAGATGGTATGATGGCATGTTTTACTTGTAACTTACAAGAAGAGGTTACAAAGTATGCGTTGGAAACATAAAACCTGTAAATTTTGCTTTCTATGAGTCACAATCAGCGATTTGCTGATCGCTGAGTGAGTGAGTGAGTGAGTGAGCGAGTTTGTGAAAAATCGCTGATTGTGACTCTCATGAAGTGAAATAAACAGGTTTAATATGTCAAACACATTCTTTGCAACCTCTTCTTGTATCCTACCAATTCAAAATTTGATCATGGCATCTAATTATTTCATAATTTAGAAAAACATTGTTTTAGCTGAAATGAGTCTTTGCAACCTTGGCCAGTGCAGCTTAGAAGAAAGTCATTTTCAATGGGAGCGTCCGATGCTGTGCCAAGGGAGCTACACACTTAGAAAAATGGATGTAAATTTTGGTGCTCTAAGACTGACATATACGAGCGTCAACTTTGACATGAAATTGAGTCATAATAAAGGTGAAATTCAGCTCAATTGAACGTACGTTTAAATTTTTCAGTCTCGGAGCACTTAATTTTACATGACATGTTTGTTAACGTCTCATCCTTCATATGCAGATATGGCAGTTGAGATTCCAACTGAGCTTGAGATGAGCTTGATGTCTATTACGACCCTCTATCGCAAATCAATGGTATATGAACTACAGTGCAATGTCTTAAATGACCAAATAGCACCAAATTAAGTAGAGTGGTGCAGGAAGCGTAACTTTGAACTTCTAGTACGTTATATAACCTATCTTGAGATCAAACGCCATATATAAGTTTTCGTCATATATAATGTGGACCGGCAAAGGTTTGCAATTGAATCACCTTGAACAACATGTACCAGAAGATACTTGTTACGCTACAATCCAATTCATTGTTTTCAAGCCGAATGAAGATTTGTCTCCACTGAACAGAACAGCCAAGGTAAATTTAGAGCTGGTCAGCATGCTTGGCATGCACAGTTGTACACACCAACTACTCATTTGTTAATAACTTTTAACTCAGTTGTTGAAATTTAGTTTCCTTTAAAGTAATTGATAGATTAGGATCATAGTTTACTTAAGACATACAAAAAGCAGGCAAATCTTATCATTTGAATCAACACCAATGCATTTTTATACCTAAAGTCTTGTCTGCTATCTGCTGACGTTTCAGTTTTTGAACTTGTTCCTATTCAGGGGATATAATGTTGTACCATCTTTCGTTCAGCATTATAATTTTCACGATCTTAAACAAAACTAGCCCTGATGAAGATCCCAACCTCTGAATTGAAACGTTGACGATAATAAAACTGTAATCAACACTTTTTCTTGATTCCTTAAGAAAATTCAACTGCTTTGAAGTTATTTGATCTATCTGAAGCACCTACAATTTTACTTTATTTTGATATGCTTCCTTGAAGCTCATGAATCTTTATTTAAAATTTCTAAACTTCCCTGTAGTTCCCTTAATTTTCAAGAAGTTTTCGGAAATTCTTTTACGTGTCAACAATTTTCCTGGTATTCATGAACCTTTCCTGAAGACCCCGTCAATTTCCATACATTTTTGGAATATTCCTGAAATTTTTGGAAATTTCCATAATTCCTTGGAACTTCTTTTAAACTCCTTTAACGAATTAATAGAGCTGCTTTGAAGTCTTCTGATCTTCCTCAAAATAATCGGAACACCCCTGGAAATTTTCAAATTGCTTATAATTGTTTAAACTTCCCTGAAGCTGACTGAACTTCACTGAAGATTTTGGAACTTTGCTGAAATTTCCGGAAATGCCCTGAGTTTCTTAAAAATTCAACAGAGTTTCTTTCTCAAATACTTTCTGGAAATTCTGCCTATATGTTAATTGCTCTGTACTGAGGTTTTATGATCTTCCTTAATGATTTCAAAGCTACCCTGAAAGTCTCACAATTCTCCTGACGTTCCACGCCCTGAAATTATTTTTTTTTCTTTATTATAGAAATTTTTAGCCATAGGCTAGTTCATCTCTTCCTGAAATTAATGGTTAAAGCTTGAGTCATATAATATCTGGACGCACTGTTTATTTAACTACAGTGCTCCTAGCGGTCGGATCTGTTTTCTCTTTCAGTGCTGAAAAGTTCGTCACAATTCATTTTGTTTAAAAGAAGTACTACTTGATGGAAGCCGTTTTCTTTTAAAGTGCAATAAATGACCTTCATTTTTAGTGTTCAACATTTATATTTCATTAAGATGGTTCCGAGATACATTCGGTTTTTTTTTTTGCGTCCAGATATTAAATGACTCAAGCTTTAGTCTCTAAAGATTCCAAAATTTGACTTGAGTTTTCTAAAATTTTATAAAGATCTCTGAACTTGAATGAAAATGCCTGTAATTTCTCAAAGATTCTTAGAATTTTGCTGATATTCTGGTGCTGTCCAGAAATGATCGAAATTTGCGTTCGCATATCTTTAAAGTTTCCTGAAATCTATGAAATGCCTGAAGTTATTGTGAATGCCCTTAAGACCTCTGAGCTTTCCTGAAGATCTCTAGTCCAACCTTCCCTAACGTTCTTTTTTTTATTCATTTCGTTTATTTGGAAGGCTCAATCGCGTTAGCTTTACGGAGCCGATAATTCATTGTTCACTGTTTGTAACAAAGTTCACTTAATTCTATGTCTAGTAGGAGTTGGGCCGATTACTCGCGGCTTACTCGAGGTTAGAGGAGTACATTGTTGAAGGATAGGATCAGGAGAGGAGCTTGGGGTAGGGTTTCGTTGTCACATCAGAGCGTACTCCCTAACGTTCTTGGAACTTCTTTAAAGAATCCACAATTGTTCTCAACTCATATGGACTCTTTATGAGTTTCCTTGACTTTGCTGAAGTTCTCTTGATAGTCCTAGATCTTCTTAAAAGTTCCAGATGATTCCCTGTAGCCAGTGCTGCGTGCTGTCAACAATGTCAATTGACTTAAGATATTGGTCTAGCACTGAATTTCATTTTCGACACTGATATTCTTGGTGAGCATAATATCAGGCGTACGGCTTTGATCTTACTTTTACCTAAATAAATCAATGTTTTGTATAACCGTTCAATTGTTTCAATATTATTGATGAGTTTTCTGAAGATCGGTACTCGTCGGTGGGATTTTTCTGAGGCATAAACATCCCTGGTCACGTCTTCCTTCGGAAGGGCAGTCAAGCCGTTGGTCCCGGCCCATATGTGTTTAAATGGGTGCGATATCCTACGCAGGTATGGAAGCTGCCTTCCTGCACATTCGATTGCTGTCAATGGATGGCTGTATTCTACAAGAGATCTTTTAATTACATACAAACTCTTCATACGGCGTGTGAAAAAGGGCAATTGAGAAGATCTGTTTTTTTGATGATTTTCCAGAACAAGATCTATTAATCGACATTCCGACATTGATTCCGATTATATGAGCTTCTTACAAGGTTAAGGTCTGAAAACATTCCTAATAGAGTCTCACGTCAAATGATTTTCTTTAAAGTGAAGTGAGATTTTTTTTTAATTGCTAGCCTAGCGTTTTGTCTGAAGTTGTTCCTGATGGTATGTGTCCCAGTCAGG